CAGGATAATTCTTCTCAAATTTTATATATGCAATATTGGTGTCATATGAAAGATCGAAAAAAATTTGACTTTCGCTATAATATTTATAAAAATTGGATAAATGACAAAAAAGTTATAACACTTCAAAAAATAATGCTTTTATACATTCTAAGCCCATGAATTAATGACACGTGTTTTTTAGTGTAAATGTTGAGCTTGTGGTGGCTATTTGTTTGCGGGCATTCTATATTATCTTTGAAATTGTCATGTGGCATTTTTATAGCAAATGAGTAAATTGTGGAGAAATGGACATATAAGATCAATGAAAGGTGTAATTGTCTTTTAAAGAGCTATTTATTTTTTTATATATAAATAGAAAACATACGAGTATCTTACAATAATTAATTTTACTCCTGAAAATAATACGGAGTAGTAGTGTAGTGACAAAACATACAACGCCAATTTATGGGGCATTCAAAGTTAAAAATGATTCACATTTATCAAGACTTATATATTATAACAGGTGGAAATGTGGAATGTAATAATTTAACGGGGCAGTTCATTTGAAATTTTGGTCAAACCAAATCGAACAAGTTCGCTGGCCAATTCACAGCCCTTATTCTGTCCCCACATAATACACGTCCCTGCTCAATGTACCAGAAAGAGCCACACTAGATTATGGCAATAGATTCTTGGGAAGAAAAATATGCACAACAAGGACAGCGAGGGAAAATAAAGAGCTCACCCAATAAGTACAGTCCTGTTTTTACTGAGTACGAGACTCTCCCTCTTCCTCGAGCCCAACCTTCCTTTTCCATACTGTCTTCTCTTTCTACAGCATTTTCTCTGTTGAAAAAAAAAAAAACTAGAGAAGAAAATATATTTGACATTCAAGTTGACCGCCTGCAGATTAGCAGAAGCATTCTTGTTGTTTTGCTCTTATATAGCTAGGGCACTCCTTTTTGCCAGAAGCTTGTGTGGCCTTCTCCAATGCTCCTGTTTAAAGGTGTAAGTTCATTTTCTAACTGTGTTTCCCGAGTTGCCAAAATCAAGGAAAAGAATCCCTCCATTTTTTTGAGGTAAAAGAAAATACCTTTGCGAAAATCCCTAAAGTATATTTCAACCCACATTCTCCGGAAGAAGAAAGCACCCACCTTTTTACCCCTCTTTTGTTTTCTTCCATTTTTCACCCCAAAGAAAGAGGGAGAGGAGAGATGGGGTGTGTTTCTTCAAAGTTTGAGCAAGAGGAAGAAGGGGTAGTATCCATATGCAGAGAAAGAAAGAAGCAACTGAAGCTTACTGTAGAGAGAAGGTACAGCTTAGCAGATGCGCACCATAGGTACTGCCAAGCACTAAATGGAGTCTCAGCTGCTCTCAGGCTCTTTGTGGCTCGCCATACTTCACCTTCTTCTCCATATCTCATCACCTTCCCACCACCACCTTCCCCTCCTCAGGAAAATAAGGCTGATTCAAACCCAATGTTTCTTCAGCAAAACCCAACCCAAGAAGCCGCTGACTGTCTGGGGTCATGCCTACACTCTTCAGAGGATGAAGAAGAAAAGGAAGAAGAGAATGAGGAAAGAGAGGATGTATACCACCTCGAGAAGAAAGAGGAGAAGGCCCAGCAGGCAGCAGCAGTTTCTGGGTATTTTTATATGGAAATGCCTCGAGAAGAGGTATTGCAGCATTCAACACAAATACCCGCCGGTGATGGTTATGGTGGTTGGGATTTCTTTAACCCTTTTTATGGGTACAACCACCAGATCTCGGAGGAGGATTTGAAGGTGGTGAGGGAGAGAGAGGGAATACCAGAGTTGGAGAAGGAAGAAGAAGAAATTTGTAGTAGAGTAATGAAAGATGAGAGAGCAGAAAGTGGGAAAGTGGAACAGAAATGGGGTGAGGAGATGGTAAAGGGAGGGGAGAGCGAAAGAGTTGTGGATGTTTTGAAGGAGGAGGAGGTGGATAAGAAGGGGATAACAGAATTAACTGACATGGAGAAAGGATTAGATGGGGGGAGGGAGCTGCTTGAAGCATTGAAGGATATTGAGGATCATTTCACCAGGGCATACGATTCTGGGAAGGAAGTGTCCAGGTTGTTGGAATCTAATTGGGTTCACACCCAACCAAATTTGGAGGATTTGAGAGGTAGTAGTGAATTAATTTTATTATGTTTCTTAACCGTCTTTCTTATACACCTCCAAAGTTACAACCTTGATGTTCAATTTGATTGCTTTAGTTAGTTAGTTAGTTTCAGGTGAGAATGTTTGATACATACAATGATTATTAGGTGCCATTCTTTTTTGAAATAATGACAAACACTTGGCTAAAATAAAAATGATGGACAAAAAAATACTTTTGCTCCCTGTTGACTGTGATGGTATATTTACATTGATTACAGTGACCATGGTAGTATATCCATAGTGACTATAGTGCTTGTGTAACCTGTGATATATTCTTGTCTTACCAATTTTCTTTTAGTTAGATTATAGGGACCCCCCCTGAATACTTTCCAATGCAATTAATTAAAAGTTATAGACCACCAAAATGCTATAAGCAGCAGCAGCATCTCATGATGATTGATATTTCTGTAGGAAACATCACAACAAAACTGCTAGCACTCACATGGATGCCTACCCCAGCAGCAGCTCATTCTCCATTGTCATCATCATCCTCTTCTAATAAGAGGAGTCTTGTGGCGTCTACTTCAAAAAGCTCCTCCACCTGGATGACAGAAATCACCAACGATGTCTTTGGTGACCATGGAGGATCTGGAAGCCATTCTCTCACGCTTGGAAGGCTCTACGCTTGGGAGAAGAAACTCTATGAAGAGGTCAAGGTGATTAACTCACTGACTATATATAACATATACGGAGTATAAGTTCTTTTTGTTCTGTTACAACAGATATGTTTGACAAGTTCTTTTGTACATAAAAACATGATTTTTGTTTGTATAGACACGGTTTTTTCTGTGTGTTTTTATGCATGTGACAATGTGAGAACAAAAAAAATGTTTAGTGTGAAAAAAATTTTTGGTAGTGTTGTTTGTTCCATGTCTCTGTGAAGAAATTTTGTTGTTGTACTAATGGTCGTTCAAACTGGTCGTAATTCGTAAACCAACATTACCCTGCATACATATGCTCTTTTGGTTTCCGACTTTCCATTTTTCTTCTTTTCATGGCTGGTTTTTATTAGTAGTTCTGATTCTTTTCTTCCAACATTACCCTGGTTTTGATGATTTATATTCCCTTGTGGTAGTAGAATGGGGATATCACTTGGAAATTGTACGAGAAGAAATGCAAGAAGCTAAGAAGAAACCAAGATGCTGCCAGAATAGGTGATGAAGAAGGAAAGAGAGGAGGAGGGGCAGTAAAAGAATTACAAAGCAGGATCATAGTCGCTATTCGGAGTGCAGAAACAATTTCAAAAAGAATTGAGAATCTTAGAGACAACGAGCTTCAACCTCAAATTATTCAACTCCTTCAAGGGTAATAATAAGGTTTTAGATGTACTCGCTTTACACATTTTGAATACAAATCCTTTTTTTCTGTCTCAAAGTTCTGAACTTATCTAATTTGAACTTCACTAAAATTTGACTTTCCCTCTTTATTCGTGATCTATCTTTACATTATGTGGGTCCATACTACATTTTTAGAATACCATGTTCTATTTTATCTGATATATCTCATACTCCCTCTGTCCTTCATAATTTTGTTAACTTTTCTTTTAGATTGTCCCAAAAACTTTATCACTTTCCCTTTTAGGCTTTTAATCAATCAATTTGTAGCTCTTGTTATTTTTCTCTTCTCTGCACAAACCTATATTACACAGTTTTACTTTATTATTCTACGTGTCGGACAAACTTGACAAACTTCTAAGGGATGGACCGATGGAGGGAGTATTTTGAGACAGGAGTATAATGTCTTTAAAGTTGTTAGCACTAAACCTAAGTTTGGTTCTTTATCTTGGTTGTTTGCAGCATGATGAGTGCTTGGAAAATCATGTTGGAGTCCCATGAGATTCAGGACAAAATCATGACCCAAGTGTCAAGCTTCAACTGCCCTACCTATGGAAAATTCTGCAATGATTCTCACCGCCTTGCAACCCTCCAGCTTCAGGTTGAGCTTCAGAATTGGCGTTCTTGCTTCACTGCGTATATTGCGGCCCAGAAAGCATATGTTCAATCCCTCCATGCCTGGCTGTCTAAGTTTGTTGTTTCTCATGCCGTTGACTTCTACTATTCCACCAATGGTCCCCCACTTCTCACTGTTTGCCGTGACTGGTTATCTGCAGTGGATAACTTGCCTGACAAGTCAGTTTATTGTGCTCTAAAATCATGTGCAAAAGATGTCGGGGCCCTCTGGGCCCAACAGGGATTGGAACAGCAACAGAAACGAAAGGTCGAAAGCTTGTCAAAGGAAGTGGAGAGGAAGACAGTGGCATTCCAGAAGGCCGAGAATAAAATTTTTGAATTCAGGAAGCTCACTGACCACCGACACTCGGAATTGGAGATGGAGCATAGGGAGCAAATTCTGAGAGAACAGAAAGATTTGTTGGATGGCTTCAGAAAGAGGGTAGCTTTGGAAAGGGAAGAACACCACAAATGCATGCAAGAAACACAGAGTATCACGCTCAGAGGGTTTCAATCCGGGTTTGGCAGTGTCTTTGAATCCATGACCGAGTTTTCAAGAGCAGCTTTGAAAATGTACAATGATGTTTTAAGTGCTTGGGAAACGCCTCAGCTAGAAAAAGATGCTAAAGGTTGACATTTTTTAGAAAACTGTTTCTCGTACAACTAATTTGTACAGTACATTTATACAACAAGTTTTTTTTTGTGTACACAGACAAAATCTTATTTGTGAAAAATAAGTCTCTGTGAGCAAAAAACTTGTTGTACAAATTAGTGTGTTCTACAAATTAGTCGTACACCAAGCACTACCCTCCTTTTTTAATGGCGGGAGGCAAACGCTAGGATCATGGTTTAGAGCTTAGAAGTTATGTACATCAGTACATGAGTAATTTATGCCAAGCTTGTAATTTCTGTGAGCGTGATTACATGACCTTTCTCTAGATCAGCATTAGTAGAAAGATGGTTGTTGCCATTTGCACTTTGCAGTAATACAACCAAACAGAGCTATACATTTTAAGCAAATACACAACTAATCCTCTTCTATGCATAAGTGGAAAATCACACTTGCTGCAAATGAGCAGGGGAATGGTGTGTTTCCCCCACCCACTTATTATTTTATATACAAAGAAACCAAAAATTGTGAAAGAAGAATGAATTCGGCCACGAGAGTAGCAGGGTTGTGTATGCCAAGAAATGGGACAATATCTACTTGCAACCAACTCTCAACTGCAGAACCCACCATTGCCCCTGCCACCAGCCCACCAATTGTTACCAGACTTGCTTTGCCTGTTGTAAGTTATAACAACAAAATGCCACCAGTCTTAGTTAGTGTAGTGATGGGAAATAAATCAGTTATTCAGTGTATTTATGGAAAAACCCATAGAGAGGACTATAACCTATGTCGCTATGTTACAAAAACCGAACTGGGATTGACCGGATCACGGGTCAACCTGGACGGCTGGACCTAACAGGCCACCCTTGCCAATGCAAATGAAAAAGAAAAAAGTATACATGTATTATATACTTCGTATTAGATTAAAGAAAACATTAACTACATTTTATAACGGTCAAATAATGATAATGTTTGATAGCCATTAAAAGACACAAATACACATTATTCCAATATATAGTATTTAATCATTTCAGACCAAGAATATTATCGGTTATTCACTTATTTGTTTTGTATATCTTTAAATTAATCTTGGCAATGAGACGCATAAATATATCACTTTATAAGGTTAGGGTTGCAATTTTATTAAATCAAAGAGACTTAAGGAAAAATAACTCAGAACTAGTTTGACCTAGGTTGGCCGGGTTCTACCCGACTGCTCTGATCTGGGTTTGCTCGTGTAGGCAGGTTTTAACCGGGTTTGGCTAAATCCCAATTTTTATGACCTGGTTTGGTGACTGGGTCGATCCAGCCTGACCAGGCCAGTTCTTGTAACATAGAGTAAACTGTAAAAGGGGGTGTTTGGATTTGATTCTCAAAACTGATTCTGCTCCTTCAGGGAGCAAAAGCAGAAGATGGAGTGTTTGGGTGAAATTCCAGAAGCACTTCTGGTGCTCTAATTTACTCTCAGAATCAATTTTTTTAGAAGCTGGGGGTGCCAGCTTCTGAAAACTGATTCAGATTCTGCTTCTGCTTTAAAAAAGAAGCAGAATCAGTTCCAAACACCCTCAAAGTATAAAACATATCACATTTCTTAAAATAAGCACATCATCTCTTTCCCTAAAATGACTTTTCATTTTTAGGAAAACAATTATTGACCACTTTTATTCCCTTTTAATGTCTGAATTAAGTCTTAATTTTTGGCAAAGAATAAAGATAGTCCGATTAGTGCACAAAACCCAAGTATTTTTCCTATTAATATAATATCTTTATTCTTTATATATATTGCCTCCATAAACTTACCCAAGGTAACATTTTTCTTGGTGATGAAATACAAGGTTGCTCCAAAACTGGTGGCCAAAATCAGGCCAGGGATATCTGGTCCTCCTGGAAAAGCTGCATCAGATGAAGATGAGGCTCCATTTGCGTATGTTAGAACTGACAGGGCTCCATAAACCCCGGCTTGGACAGCCAGCTCGCTGGTAGATGGTGTTTCAAATGAAACGGTTGAGTTCCTGACAGCATTCTGCAACCACTTAGGAATTGATTTCATTCTTGAGGCATTTACAGATTTTTTAACATCTGCATAACGAATAGATTTGTCAACAACTTTTCCAGCTCTCCTCTGCGACAAGCTCTGCATCAGCAGCATATCATATGCAGCTTCCACCTATAACCACCATTTTCATATTATTATTACTCCAAACATAGAATGCCCATAATAAACAATCCATACATGTCACAAATTAAACAAACAGAAGAGAAAAAAACAGTCACATCCATTCTGATTTTATGTTCTTAAAGAACAACAAGTGTGATAAGAGGATATGAAGCCACTGGATCACCATTGATATAAGGGTAATGTAACGTGTCAAAACATATGATCTTTCGGTATGGGGATCTTTTTTAAAGATTCTTTTTACTCCTTAACCTTAAAGTGTTACCATTTTTGTACTACTTCAATTCCAATTGACCTACATACACAAAATGAGGAATGCATATACGCTAACACGAAGAAAATAGAATGCAGACAGGTTTTGGCAATAAGCAAATGGTCTTAAAGAGGACTGGATTACTAAGAATTGGGAGACTAAGTAAAAAAGTCCAGTTAATCATTTACATCTGATCCAATTTTTCAAAAAAGTTGTGCAGTTTCAGACGCTAACACAACTATAAAGGATTAAACAATCATATCAGAGCTTAATTTAAGAAACGACCCTGACCTGGAAGCTTCTGCTATGATGAATGGAAGCAAACAAAGAAGATCGCAGCAGGAATAAAAATGCGAACTTTTCCAACACAAGGTAACTGAAAAAAGCAGGAAACAGAATTTCTAGAACTGTAAAAAAGAATCAAAAAGGAAAATGATATCAAACCTTGATAATGGTTTCTGGGTCACCTTTACTCCCAGCAACAATCGATTTCTTTGCACGGAGAATATCTTCGAAGGAGCCGGGTCTTCTGCTCTCGAGCTGGCTTGGACGGTCGTGTCTAAGGTTCGTCGGCGGGAGATGAATACGACGCCGAGTTTCTTGATCTTATTGGTTGCGTGGAAGAGTGACCTGCGCCGGAATGAACCGGACATACGATTGCCGATGATGGTCCGGTCCGGTTGGACCGATAGCGGTGACGCCATCTCTCTTTACTCTCGATTCGTAACAGAGTTGTTACGGAAGGGAAGAGGTGACGTGGTCGTTTGCACGCATAATCATTGCACTCGCTAGTGTTATACGGTGTATTTCTTCTGTAGGGAGTATTCTTAAAGTATACTCCTTCCGTCCCATTTATATTGTCCCGGAGGAGGGTGGCACGATTATTAAGAAAAGTGGGTTTGTGTGGTTGATATTAATTGATAAAGTAAGAATAAAGTAAGAATGATTTAGAGCCACACAAACTTTGCCAAATATGATATGGGACAATATAAGTGGGACTTCCCGAAATGATAAAACGGGACAAAATAAATGGGACGGAGGCAGTATCAAAATTTGTTTAAATATGTTAGTTGATCCCAAAAAGTCAAATGGAGTATCAAAATTGTTATTGACAAAATAATAAGAGGACTTTCGATCAAAAAAGGAAAATCTATCAAATAGTTATGTACTATCACTAAAACGTCTTTTGTTACTTTAAAAAACTCAATTACATAATCATAATTAGATTGCAATAGAAGAAAACTACATATACGGAGAAAACCTTAACGGTGCCGTCGGCTCTGGACGAAGATCGTTCGTTCGAAGCGTGGCATCGAAGAAGTAGGACCTGTGAGGAGACCAGCAAGGTCTCGAACGGGGATGTTGTGAAGAAGAGCGGGGATTTGAGGCTGATGGCATCATAGCAACAGCAGGACATCGTGAGAAGGTTAGCGAAAACCACAAGTGATAATCTCAGTCGGGTTTTATTCTTAGTATATTCAGCATTTTTGTTCCCCTCAGTTGCATGGTGTTTCTTTTCCCGCTATCTTCGGCGAGTCGGGTGTGGTGACTGCTCGCATGGACCGTGTGAGCCGGAACTGTCGCGAGTTAGGAAATCTAGTCAAAGTCCAAATGTTAGAGGTCTGTATGGAGGTTGATGGAACCGGACCAAAAAATGGTTTTGCGGCGGTGCTACTGGATCAACACCGCCTAGAATTCTATTAGATCTTGTGAGCGGGATGCTTCCTTTGGAGGTGGCTAGGCAAACCTCTTATCCCTTTCCGATGGCTAGTAAAATATGAATGACGTCTTTGGAGGTGGCTGGTCATACCTCTTCTCCCTTGCTGGTAAGTGGTAAATGGAAAAACCATGAGATTTGACTCTTTGTTATTTCATTTGAATAACTTTAGTTTTATGTCTATTTCTTTTAGTAGCAAGTACAACGATGTTGTTAGATTAGGCCTACCATGGTGCGGGAGGGTGGGGGTGGGGGGTAAGCGATCTTGATGAGTCTTCATGGACTAATCAATTTTATGTCTCACTTCAGGGTAGCTCTGAGCTATTGATTTGCTTGTCTCTTGTCACTTTCATTATTATTAATAAATAAGTGTTCTTAAAAAAACTCAATTAAATCCTTGAAAATTTAAAAATTGTCAATTGATCCAATTAACAGGTTATTTGCCTGTCAATTGATTCAGTAAGTTACCCAGTGACGTGGCCGCACACCTGACGGCACACACGTGCCACGTTAGAAGTTAATTGTTGAATGGACGCACACATGAGCCGTCAATTGAATGGTAACCGTCCAATTGGCTCAATTGAATGTTTTTCCAAAATCCAGTAATTGATTGTGTAGTTGACGTTTTTGAGATAGTTTGACTTATTTGATACACTGTTACACACAAAGAAAAATACAAAAATCAAATTCACTGTTATAATATGGAAGGAAATAAGCAGAAGATCAGTGAGAGAAAGTATAATATGAACGCTTAGTGATAGATTATGTTATTGAGAGTGTGATAATGGTGTAACCATGGTGTTTTAGAAGTGTCTTTATAATGAAGGAGAACACTCCTATTTATAGGAGAAAAACTAAACTCCTTAGGATTAGAAGATAATTGTGTACCACACAATTATTATCTAGAATCATAATTATTATGATTTCCTGATTATTTATATAATGGTGATAATAATTCCTAATCAGGAATAGTTGGAAGATGACTAATTCAATAATATTTCAACACTCCCCCTTGAATGGTCATCTTCTAATTATTCTGGGGTATTAGTTTCATAGTATTATAATGTATTGTCTCGTTAAAAACCTTGTCAGGAAAAACCCAGTTGGAAAAAAATATTGGCGAAGGGAAAAAGAGTGCAGTGCATTATATTACTCCCCCTCAATTTAACATATATCTTGAAGACGGTACATTCCAATTTTGTGGACCAGTTCTTCAAATTTCTTCGGTGCCAATGACTTTGTGAATAAATCAGCAGGGTTGTCTCATGACTTTATTTGTCCGGCATCAACCGTTCCGTCTTTCTCAAGATCATGTGTGGAGAAAAGTTATGGTGCCATATGCTTTGTTCTATCCCTTTTGGTGTAACATCATTTGACCTGCGATATATTTGGCTAACAAATTTATAGAAAAAGCTAGCAACATCTACTCAAGTATTATTAGTCAAATACATTAATGCTTCAATAGCATTCAAATATATTATTTCACAACCAAGGATTTATTCATCAGGGTCAGAAGAATCATCATTCACATTGAGAGATCGAAACATCATTGAAGAATTGAGCGGGTGTAGTTTATCAATGTAAAACCGCTTCAAAAGTTTCTTGGTATAGTTTGATTGGTGAATAAAAATACCATTTCTCAAATGTTCCATTTGAATAACGAGATAAATTTTTGTTCTCCCAATGTTTTTCATTTCAAATTCTTTCATGAGATATTTTGCAGTATTTTCAATTTCAATGGGAGTTTCAATAATGATTAAATAATCAACAAATACTGCAATTATGGTGAATCCTGATTCGGATCGCTGAATGAAAACACGTGGACTAATAGGATCATTTTTATATCCTTCTTTAATCAAATATTCACTGAGACAGTTATACCACATGCGTCTAGATTGTTTTAATCCATATAATGACTTTTGCAATTTTATGGAAAATAAATTTTGAGATTTCGAGCTATAAGCATCTGTATCGAGTGAACCGGATAAATATGCGCTCACCACATCCATTTAGCGCATTTGCAGCCTTTCAAAAACATACATGCCAATTAAAAATCTTAAAGTTGTAGCATCAACTACTGGAGAATACGTCTCATCATAATCGATTCCTGGCATTTGAGAAAACCCTTGGGCAACAAGTCGGGATTTGTATCTAACGATTTAATTTTTCTCATTGCGTTTACGCACAAAAACCCATTTAAAACCGACAGGTTTTACGCCTTTTGGCATATGGACAATTTGTCCAAAAACATTACGCTTTTCTAGCGAATTTAATTCTACCTGAATTGCTTCATTCCATTTTGGTCAATCATTTCTACGACGACATTCGTCAATAGATTTAAGCTCATTGTCATCGTGTTCATTCATTATATCTGTGACGATGACATATGAAAATATATCATTAACATCAATATCATTTCTATTCCATTGTATTCCATTAGAAACATAATTAATTGAAATTTCGAAATTATCGACGTTTCTATCTTTATCTGGAATATTTACCTCTTCGAAGGTGATTGGATTCTCTTTTGAGGTATCTTTATTATTGATGTTATCTTCAAAACCGATATTTTCAAAATGTTCATTTTCTTCTTGAGAAGGTTGAACTTCTTTGGCATCACAAACCACAACTTGTTTAAATTTTCTTGGTTTCAAATCTCTTGAACCAAGTGGTCTACCACGTTTTTTACGTATCATAGATTCATTAGCAAGAGTTCTTTCGCTAATCTCCGCAGAAATTTCTATTCGAGAAGGAGCATTCATAGCTGGAACATGTGACTTTGTCACTTTCTTTGAGTCTATAAAAGCATCAGACAATTGGTTTGCAACATTTTGTAAATGAATAATCTTTTGAATTTCTTGTTCACAAGCATTTGTGCGAGAATCAAGAAAAGATAAATTTGTTGCATTCCAAATAATATCTTTCGTCCGAGGGTCCATTTCTTTAATATCTCCCCCTAAGGCTAAGAATATTGTCTCATCAAAATGACAGTCATCGAACCGCGCGGTGAATAAGTCACCGGTCATAGGTTTTAGATAATTAATAATTGAGGGTGATTTAAAACCAACATAAATTCCCAGCCTTCTTTGAGGACTCATTTTAGTACGATAAGGTGGAGCAATTGGTACATACACAGAACAACCAAACATTTCTAGGAGTGATATATTTGGTTTTTTACCAGATATTAATTGTAATGGGGAAAATTTATGATATGCCGTTGGCCTAAGCTGAATTAAATTTGCAGCATGCATTATAGCATATCCCCATGCAGATGATGGTTATCTGGATTTCATCAATAATGGTCTAGCAATTAATTGTAATCGCTTAATTAAGGATTCAACAAGACCATTTTGTGTATGTACATGTGGAACTGGATGCTCCACATCAATCCCAATTGACATGCAATAGTCATTAAAAGATTATGATGTAAATTCTCCTACATTATCAAGTCGGATTTTCTTTATCGAATAATCCGGAAATTGTGATCTCAAACGAATAATTTGAGCAAGGAGATTTGCAAATGCAAAATTTCGAGTCGATAAAAGACTGACGTGTGACCAACGTGTTGATGCATCAATGAGCACCATAAAATATCGAAAGGGTCCCCAGGAGATTCAACTCCAATTTTATATAAAGATGGCCTGATAATTAATTTGCCAAGAGAACAGGCAGTGCACGGAAAATCACTTGATTGTGGAATTTTGACATTATTTAACGAATGTCAAAGTGAATTTTGAATAATTTTGTGCATCATGGTGTTGCCTGGATGACCTAAACGGTCATGCCACAAGATGAAAGAATTGCGGTCATTAATTTCAGATACCACATTTATCTCAATTGGACTGATATATGTAAAATACAATCCCGAGGAATATGCAGGCATTTTTTCAGAAATGTATTTATTGCCAGATCTATTTGTCGTTAGACATAAATATTCCTTCTGATTTTCAGACATGGTTTCAATATGAAAAGTTGAAAACCATTTAGACGCATATCTTTAAAACTCAAAAGATTTCCCCGTGATTTACAGGAGTATAAAACGT